AAGGACAAGTTAGTATTCCTGTCAATTTCTTTTATAGTGCAAGGGGTAATTTCGTCAACCCAAAATCCTTGAGCATAGAAGCTTGTTTGAAACTCACCTAATTTCATATTGGGGCTTGAAATTGGTCATTTGGATTTAGGGTTCTTCAAAAATTAGGATTAGTGGTTGAATTTCGAGCCCTAATATGAAATGGGGAGAATTTCAGACAAGCTTTTACACTCAAAGGTTTTGGGTTGACGAAATTGCCCCTTGCATCGTTAAAGAAATTGACAAGAATACTAACATGTCCTTGAATTGCTACAAATACGAAACTACAATGGCAAAATTGACAGAATTGAAATTACAGGGTCAAAAGTGGTTGAAGTGCCAAACTACAGGGACCAAAAGTGACATTTGGCCTTTTTTATATTATTTTTTTAATAGAGATTGACCAATTAAAAAAGAGTTATAACATTTATGACTCCCTAAACTAGAGAGAATGATTGGAGTTTAAATTTTATAGGGAGCTCCTAAAATAACTTTTATATGTTTTTAGCTAAATTTTAAATAAAAAATAGAGAGCATGATTGTGGATGCTCTAAGAGCAGTTACCTCTGCATTTGAGTTCACGTGTTTGAATTCTCACTATGTATGTAGTACATATATCACTCATTGAGAAAAGAATAAACATATCAGTTTATCCCTAATTACTTTTGAGTTAGTATCAGAGCGGGTTTTGACTCCACAACATAAAAAACCCCTAACCCTAAACAATACCCGCTGCATTATACACTTAGCCTACTGCCGGCACCTACTACCTTGTCGCCGTCTTCTTTGCGTTGCAGCCGTCTAGCCTCCATCGCCGCCGCTATCCATCACCATGCCACATTTTGATGCCTTTATTCCTTCACATGCTTCTGATTCTACTTCACCTACTGCTTCTCCTACCCCTATTGTGACGGTTCCTACTAAATCGTCCACCAATATACGTATGAGATTCAAATTGAATGGATCCAATTATGAGATATGGGCTTCGATGATAGAACTCCATGCTACTACACAAGGCAAATTGGGTTACCTTATTGCCAACACTGATGCCCCAGATTCCCAAGATCCACCATTTGGGAAGTGGAAAATTGTTGATGCTATTGTGAAAAGTTGGATGATGCGAACTATGGAACCCAGTTTGTTGAATATGTTTCATACTCTACCTACATTCCAAGGATATTTGGGATGCTGTTAATTAGATATTTTATGATGGCCCTAACATATCTCAGCTCCATGAACTACGGTGCCAGGCTACTCGTCTCAAGCAAGGGGGTCGTCCCATATCCGCCTATTTTGCCGAACTTAAGGCAATCTGGCTTGAATTGGACAAGAGATGTCCCTTTCAAATGAAGTGTGCTAATGATATGAAAACTTTTCAGGCTACTATTATGGCCGATCGTGTGTATGATTTTTTGCATGGCCTTGATGATACTTATGATGAGGTTCGCAGTGATATTCTACAGAGTGATAAGGTTCCAGGTATTGAGAAAGTGGTTTTTATGGTATGTCGAGAAGCTCAACGTCATATTACTATGCTTGGATCTGGTACCAAGACTGGGGAATTTGTTGTTGTGTTTGCTTCCAAAAACACTGCTCTGGTTTCTCGACCTTCAAGGTCTAGCTCTTTTGTTGTTCCGCCTTGTCGAATGACTTCTACAAAAAAAAAAAAAAAAAAAAAAAAATCCAAATGCCATGTTCATACAGCTTTTGGTCAAACTGATCAACAATTAATTTTGACAAAAAAAAAAAAAAAAAAAAAAAAAAAAAGACAAACTAAAGTGTGGTCACTGTGGTAATAAAATGCATACTATAAACACCTGCTGGGCATTGCATGGGATTTCAGATTGGGAAAAAGAACTGAGGCACTTAAAAAAGAACAACTAGGCATCAAAGCACATGTGGCCGACACTACGACCTCTATAGCCGACGTCACTATTAGGCAAGGCCACTTGGCTGCCACCCTTGCTCATGATGCACATGATACATGTTGGATTATTGATTCAGGAGCTACTGACCATATGATATATAATTCTGATTTATTCTCTACTACTATCCCGCCTCATTGCAATCATGTTCTGACTGCTAATAATTATGCTGCTCCTGTCATGAGGAATGGTTCTATACACTTGACACATACTTTATCATTGGACAAAGTGCTACTGGTTCCATCTTTGTCTAGCAATTTATTATACGTGCCACATGTTACTGAGCAGTTAAATTGTGTTGTACTGATTTATCCGTCGGTTGTCTTACTATAGGATAACCAGACTTGGGAGATCTTTGGTCATGGTACTAAAAAAGGGGGCCTTTATTATGTGGATGACATGGCAACTAGTCGGGTTATTCGTGCTAGTAGCGCCGAAACTTCTCTACATCGCTAGATTTGGTTGCTACATCACTCATTTGGTCATGCCTCCTTTGGATATTTAAGGCATTTGTTTCCTAGATTATTTAGTGGTGTCAACGAGTCTGCTTTCCAATGTCAGACTTGTATTTTAGCTAAGATTCATCTGGTATCATATCCTCGGAGTTGTAATAAACGCCTTATGGCATTTTATTTAGTTCATTATGATGTTTAGGGACATTCCCCTCTTTTTATTGCCTTGGGTGTTCGCTGGTTTGTGTTATTTGTGGATGATTGCACTCGTATGATGTGGTTATATGAGATGAAAAATAAAAGTGACATGGTCGTTATCTTCCAGCGTTTCTACCAGATGATTCAAACTCAATTTATGCTCCATATGAAGGTTTTTCGATATGATAATGATAGATAATAGTAAATTCGGGTTTATCCCAATTTTTTCACACTAAGGGTGTCCACTCCATGAGACTACTTGCCCTTAGACACCACAACATAATGAGGTAGATGAACGTAAAAATGGGCAGATCTTTGCCATTGCTCGTGCTTTGCTGCTTGGTGCGTCAGTTCCAAAGCGGTTCTGGATGGATGTTCTTACCTATGCAGTCTATCTCTTGAATCGTCTACTTTTATGAGTTCTAGATTTCCGAACTGCTATGCAAGTACTGACCCATCATGTCTATGTCTCTTTTATGTTGACTCTGTCTCCAAAAGTGTTTGGTTGTGTCGTTTATGTTCACCTCCATCAGAATCAGAGGAGTAAGGTGGATCCTTGTGCTCTCCACTATGTCTTTCTATGTTTCCTCACTAAAAAGGCAATTGGTTCTACCATCCTGCTACCCGACGTTTGTATGTCTCTATGGTATTACCTTCATTGAGAATGAACTGTTCTTCTCTGATATGCCCGAGCATGTCCTCCAAGGGGAGACTAGTAGTGCAGGACATGACTGGCTAGATTTATAAGGAGAAGTGGTGTTGGATGGTTTAATACAAGGGGGAGAAATGGTGGAACCAATTGAGCCTACTACTTTGGGCGAAACTATGAGTTGGTCGAAACTACTAGTTTGGCTGAACCAATTGAGCTTGCTTCCTTGGTGAATATGCTATTTTTACTAATGCTGTTGAACTGATTCCTCATGCTTCTCCAATAGTACCTAATCAAGCCCCCATGGATATTCTTGGGGTAAGTACTTCTATTTCTACTGCAGATAAATCTTATATTTTACCATATAGAAGGAATCGTTGGGTTCCACCAGATCGTTACTCACCAAAAGGCAAAGCAAGATATTCTATTGCCCATTATGTGTCTGATCACAGGTTATCTCCTGAGTGCAAAGGGAACGAAGTCTGTGGGATGCAGAGGGGTGTTTATAGTTAAATATAATGCAGATGGTATTGTGGAGAGGTACAAGGCAAGATTAGTAGCTAAAAGGTTCACTCAGACGTATGGAGTTGATTATCATGATACGTTTACACCTGTGACTAAGATTAATACTGTCAAAGTTTTGATGTCTTTAGCAGTAAACCTAGATTGGACCCTAAGACAATTTGATGTAAAAAATGCATTCTTACATGGTGAACTACAAGAAGAAGTGTACATGAGTCTTCCACCAGGATATAGCATTATTGGTAGATTTACTGCAACTATGAAGAAGTTTGGTTACCAACATGCCAATATTGATCATACTTTATTCATCAAACATAAGGCTGGTAAGGTGACTATTGATTATTTATGTTGATGATAGATTGTGACTAGTGATGATTCTGTAGAAATTGAGGACTTGCAGAAGCGTTTAGCGTCTGAATTTGAGATGAAAGATTTGGGTAGTCTGAAATATTTCTTTCACAAAAGAAGTATGTCATGAACTTGCTAGAAGATACTGGGATGCTTGACTGTAAACCAGATGAGACACCTATTGTTGAGAATCATAAACTTGGGGTTTATGTGGATCATGTGCCAACTAACAAAGAAAGATATCAGAGGTTGGTTGAGAGATTAATCTATTTATCACTTACACACCCTGATATTGCCTATGCGGTAAGCGTTGCTAGCCAATTTATCCATTCACCTAGTGAGAATCATATGGTTACTGTAATGCGTATTCTGAGTTACTTAAAGTCTGCTCATGGGAGAAGTTTATTATTTAAGAAAAATGGCCACTTGGATCTAGAAGGTTACACTGACACATATTATGCAGGGAAATATTACTGATAGACGTTCTACATCAGGTTACTTCAATTTTATTGGTGGTAACCTAGTTATGTGGCATAGCAAGAAGCAAAATGTTGTATCTCGATCCTCTAGAGTCTGAATACAGAGGGATTGCCTAGGGGGTTTGTGAAATATTGTGGTTGAGGTGGTTACTTGCTGAAATTGGGTTTAGATCAAATGATACTACAAAGCTCCACTGTGATAGTCAATCTGCATTTGAAATTGCTAACAATCCGATGCAACATGATTGAACTAAGCATGTAAAAGTTGTTCGGCATTTCATATAGTATATACATCCCTCTTTGAGAGAAGAATAAACATATCAATTTATCCTAATTACTTTTGAGTGTGCCTTGCTGCTAGTAAGACCATAAATTTATGTACCCAATCAACACTTCAAAATGAGAATATGATAACAATAACGAAGTTAATAATTATACAATATGTACCCACTACCATTTTCATTCAGCAATCTCCACCAGACCCGAGCCCCTCCAAAAAAAATATAAATGTAAAACACAGAAATCAAATTGGGTGCAATTCAAATGCAATTGAGATACACTTGACACATCAAATTGGATTCTGCATAAATCAAAGAACATACAGATCATGTGGCCTAGTACAAACGCTTTCGACAGCCATCTACACCACAATAGCAAAGCAACTTCTTTATGTTTCCATCAGGACCAACCACACTGTCGAGTTCATAACCATAGTCATATGTAAGTTCCTGCATATGCAACGTCGAATAAACCATTCATCATTCTGAGGTATATCAGCAACAAACAAAAATGAGAGAGAGAGACTTGCCTGCAACGGAGGTATGTTATCTGCAGCAAATAGCACGACTCTAGCTAGCCTAACATCATGATGAGAGCTCAAAACACACTGGACAAAGAGGTTAGGCTCGCAGCTGTGATTGATATATCTAGCAATGTTACCATAGGAACCAGCATCTATGCAAAACTCAGGCTCACTTTCTGATAGCTTGCTAAATCCTTTCTCAGCATCACCATTTGGAATAGACACATCGCACAATCGCTTCTGCAATGTAAAGATACTTCAGAGGAATGTATGACATATCAAAAGAATCAAATGTAACAGAAATATTCAATGAGAAAGACCACATCTCCAAACCAATAAGGAAAACAACACAGCATGCAAAGAACGAGTAGTAAAAAAAGTATTGAAAGTTCAATTCATCCATAGCAAACAGTTTAAACAATACCTCTCTTCCCCCAATCCCGTTCATTGTATGCCAGCAATCAATTTCAAATATATAGTCATTCTCTGATACGCTGTCTAGGTCATCATTCTTCCTAAGAACTCCAGTGTATTCACATACTGGTGCCCCAGAGGGAATAAAGTCCCAAGACCTAACAGCCCAGCCTTTGTCAGCTGTCCGATATACCTGTTCAATGAAATATTAAATTTATCAAATTTGTAAAGCACCAATGTAATCATCAAAGAAGCTTTAGGGAGTTGGTTGTAGTCATTAGACCTCAAGTCGATAATTTAATCCCCTCTGAGATGTACGGTTCACACAAGCAGGTCCACAGCCACAATTTGGACCACACTCAAACACAACAGCCTTCGGTTCAATTAATCTAAAAGGGATGAGAGGATGAGAGAGAGAGAGAGAGAGAGAGAGAGAGAGAGAGAGAGAGTTTCATCAATACATACACTTTAAAAAAAGGTTTGGTAGATCTCAAACAAGTAAAACAGCCGCGAAATTGAGACAACTGGAAAATAAGATAGTCTTAAAACTTATGCTATAATTCAAACCTTACCTTCCACCATCTCGAGCAACGTAAGGAAAATCTGAGCCATTGAGTTTAGCACAAGAGCAAGTCAGTGGATTGGTACAATTTCCTTTGCAACTGCACCCAGGAGCACTCGATGGAATGTTCACATCTTTTGCAACTTTAATAGATTTAGTATATGTAAGGCCTGCAATTTTTAACATTTTACCATGCAATTAGTAGGGGCATAATAACTACTGAGCAGTAAAAATAGTCTGGTACAAGTTGAGAAATGTAGCATACCTTCAGGCGCCATAGGAGGAACATCAATGACATTGGTAGCAGGAATGCAAATATTTTCTTGACCATTACAGATGTCCTTGCACACCAACCTAAAAAAGTAACATGCTTCCTTGGGTTTATATTGGAATGAACAAAACTGGGGGGAAAACAGAAAAACATTTAGGGAAAAGCTTATTGATTTCATACCCAGGTATTTCAGGCTGAACTTTAGACCCTCGGCCACGAATAAAATGAACCTGAAATTTTTTTGTCGCTTAAGCATCTCCAGAATTTTTAACTTGTAATGAAATTCCTTAACTATAATATGTAAAAAGATAATGCATCTAATATGTGTCCAAGAGTATAAGATTAGTATCAAATATATTTAAGGTAACTATTTTCTTTTCTAAATCTTGCTAATTTTCTGAACTATTGACAGTGAACTATATAAGGAGTATCATTATTTCCTACCCTTATGCTTAGTTTAAAAAGTTTGAACAAGAGCATAATGAACTAGCATCGACTTTTTATGGAAAGCCAATCGCATGCCAACCTAGCTCCAAGAGAATAATATATGAAAAAACTCTATAAAAGTTTTCTCACACTCTGTTCCTGTGTCACTAAATGAAATTTGCATATTGGATTTTACGAAAATGCAAAAGAAATGATAACCTGTTTGCTGAGCAATTTAGGTTGTCCTCCATCTCGCTTTAAACAGTACTTAAACACATCAAATCCAGCAGCACCCTTATCAGCCCAATAATCGACAACCTTCCGGGAAAAGAAAATAAGTAAAGAGACTTTAGCTGCTTAGTCAAATTTCATCCATATGAAAGAAAAAAAAACCTAGCAATTACTTTAGCTACATCTGTCGGTTCAGTTACCATGATGGGATTTGTTTGTCAGGGTTGCTAGCTTGACTTAAGGGCACCTTGACAATATCCACTAAACTCAAACCAAACTGCAGCTAAAAACTTCTTTATTTACTATTGTACAACTAACTGTGTTCCTTTTTCAATTTTCTGACCATGCGTTACTTTATGTGTTTCTTAAAAGAGCCATGATACACAAGCAAAGATTTCATGTGTTCATTTTTCTCATTTTTTTAACACATGAGTATACTTTTGATATGACTATGCCTTGCGGTAATGATTCCTCTCTCATTAAGAACCTTTGTTTTTGTTACATTGGGAGGAAAGAAACCCTGGGGTTCTGATCCTGGGTGCCAAGCAGGGGGAAGGAGGAGGGCCACAACCACTGTGGTAATCCCGCTCGACCCCATTAAGACGTTTGATAAACAATAACATACACATGAAAATGGCGAACCTTGTATAGTCCATCATATGTATAAACTTTCTTACTATAACTATTCACACATTTATGTCCTCGGATGACTCTAACAGGAATTGACTGCTCCATATTATTCTGCAAGAAAATAGGAAGACAATAAGTAAACAACATGCAGGGAAGAATATCTCACATCCATAACACATCATCATCTGGGAAAAAGTTAGTAACAAAGTGGACTCTAAAGCGCAAAGAGTATGTATGTGAAATAAATCATTGGCCAGATGCTTGGCATCATATGCTATGATGACATTATTGACAATTTTTGCACACTTCCACACAAATTGTTACGTATTGCATGAATATCTAAAGGAAGCAAAATTTATACAGAACTATTTTGTTCATCACTGATATTCATAACAATTTTGTCTACAAGGAGAATGCTGATTTCTAACTGTGGCAAATAGAGGAAGCTTTTATATCAATCAAGAGAACACGTGGTATTATTAAAATTGAAGGAATAAAACTCAACCTTTTTGCAATCGCTGCTCTAGGAGTCTGAGAAAAGAAAACTTCAGGCAAATAGTGTGAAAGTTCATGTCCAAATATCCTAGCATATTCTAATTTGTTTCTCATCTAATCTGTTGAGGAATAGTTCCTAGAATATACTCAGTGATAGCTGAAACAATTTCTATTACTAATTTGACTCAAGGAGAGAAAAAGAGATATATATCATAGAAAATATCAGAAAGAATTAAAGGAACAATAATCAGATTCCAGATGACGCACCTTAAGAGCCAAATTACCTCGAAGCAAAACTTGATGTTTAATTTGCTTTTTATCACCAAGTAAATCATGTCCACCTTGACCAGTATAGATAACTTCTTCTTTGTTATCAACATCATCTTCATATTGGCCGGACATCACAATTGATACTGCGAGTGGTAAGGTATAGCGTTTGTATTTCTCCTGCAACATGACAGAGGCTGATAAGATCAAAATAACTGTATTCACTTAGTTCACTAGAGCTCAAACTCATGTATTAAAAACCAACAAGAGCAAACACATTTGGAGAGAAAGAAACAATAATCAGAACTTAAGAACAACTCAGCACTATCATGCCCAATGGGTGGTATCGTTCAGTGCACCGAATCTAAACCAAACTCTAGTTGTGATGTACATATGGGTTATGAGTACAGTGGTGATCCCCATTATCACCTTCAACCCTTTCATTCAATTTTACTTCTAATTCCAGCTCAGTTCATAGAGCAAGAGCATGTTACAATCAATATAATGATATATACACACACACACACACACACACATCACTGAACTACACATAAAGATGATTTCATCTTTACCCTTGTATGTCTTTGTTTAATATGTGAACTCTTCCGTGGGGAACAGAATCTCTACATTAAATGCCACTTGTAAATGCATATAAATGCTTCAATCATTCCATTAAAGTAGATTGGTACCTTGCCTCTAGATTCTCCTATGTAATCGATTCCATTTAACCAGTGTGCATGAAACCCTACAGCCACCATTTCAGCCCGAGAGAAAAATTGATGCCCGACCTCAATACCTGCATCATTTATATTTACAAGCAGCAAAGTATTAAAAAAAAGGTACTCCTAAACGATTAGGCAAAGAAACAAAGCCAACATTCTCCGAATGTTCCCAACTAAAACCAGATAGCACTAGAAGTTAATATGTGGTCCAACCAGCAAAACTAAAAATTACCAACCTGGGACGTGACCAATTTTTCGTTCAGGGTATAAAATTTCATTGTTGCTCAGCATCTGCCATGAATTCAAACAGAAATATAAAAAGAATATTAAGAAAAAAGTTATCACAATTATTGTACGAGGCATTATAGCAGAAGTGTTATAAAGCCAGGTTACTATTCATTTTTGAAAGGATATAATCCCTGGTTACTTCTAAATACAAACTAGTTAAGTTATATGAATGTCCACAAAATTAAAAAGCAGAAAACCAGGCACCATAATAATTCCAATTTTTACGAGGGGTATACAGAAGTAGAAACGCAGATGTAGTTGCTCACATGAATGTCAGAAAAAGAAAGGTTTGCACCCAATTTTAAATTACTTTTGACAGTCTAACTACCTTTGAACAAAAATATATGACAAATAAAACGATGCATAGGGGACTTGTGTGTCCATGTGTAGCAAAGGACTTCTCAGTTCTTCACTTTTCCTCTACAAACATGATTGCAATGGGACATAAATATAAGTCCAAGAAACGAGATCACTATCCTCTCAAATCTAGAAAATGCATTAGAAATTATCATTAGTAACAGTCAAAATCACCAAGACATACATATCTATTGGTTTTGTCTATGGTGTAGTGTGATCAATGGTGAGTTAACTCAAGTCTTACGCTTCCTAGAAAATAATACATGTATCAGATCTCTATGCAGCATGCAACTTGCCTTAGAAATTGCCTTCAGATCGGGTCTCTTGGACTGCCTCTTATCGTCACATGCACTATCATTCTGCAATAGATTTTTGGATATGATGTAGTGTGATGAATGATATCTAACTCAGGTCCTACACATCAAAGAAAATAATATGTACAAATTTCACATATAGCACCCAACTTACCCCAGGTCTCCTGGAAGGTTCCTTAAGATCATCACAACATGCAGTTCCGTTCTGCAAATGTTTGTCAAACTAAAATAAATAATGATCACAAAGACCAAGATATCCACCCATCCTTTTTCCTTCCCTTTCTATAAAACGAGTATGAAAAATGAAGAAACAACTACTACCATCAACTTGCATCTATGAAGAAGAAACTTTTCAGCGGCCAATAGACGTGCCAACAAACAAGATTTGCTTCTATGCAACAATTAGGTGGGTGCAAGCTATATACAGATATTTGGCTCATCCTCAATCGTTTAAACTAATGGGCCTATTGGTTGTCTCACAATAAGGACGGATCTATGGTTAAAATAAAATAAGAATTAGTCTTCCTCTAAAAATTTCAGATTTGAGCAGGAATTTATAAGGCCTTCGAGAGAAAGCATTTCTTCCCACCACCCCTCAACAACCACTACAACTTCTTTTCTTTTGACCCTCATTATCGTTACTGATTACAGGCATAAGAACCAACTAAATTATTCATTCTCTCTGCAAGATAATATAAAAGATATATATAAATATTGTAACCGAAAAAAAAAAAAGATATATATAAATATATAAGTACTAACCTCCAGCTTACTGCATCTTTTCTCCTCTTCCTGCACAAAAGCAATAGACCTTGTAAGTTAAGAAACTTACTTGCAGTTGCAGAAAAGGGAACTTGCATTTGTCTATTTCAGAAAAATATCTTTAGTTATAAAGAATAGATTTTGAATGGGTTTGGCTTTTATTTCGTAACCGTAAAAGTTTAAACAGTTTGCTTTTATACCAAAAAGAAAAAAACAGAGTGATCGAAACACAAATTTAATAGCCTGCAACGCATTACAACAAAGAATATTATAACCACATTCAAAATTATTACAATTTTAAAAAACAAAAAGGGATATCAACACCAATCCACATAGCAAATAACACAAATAGACATTGTAAGTCAATACCTGAATAAAGTGAAGGTAATGCAAATTAAAAAGTCTGAGCGTCTCTTTCAAGCGTGCAGTGAAGCTTACACCGTTTTCATCAGTCAAACGTCCATCAGGGGCAAAAAAATCCGCACCACCATCTTCCACATCCGGGCCAGTCTTGGTCTCGCTCTCTCCATTTTGAGCTTCGACTTTTTCTTTTTCCTTACTCGATTTGGCATTGGACGCAGACTTTTGCGCCGGTGCTGAGGGTTTCTCAACCTTGGGTTTCTTCTTTGCAACGGCGTCGTTTTGGGCGGACTCGGATGTCCGTTTCGGACTGGGACCATAGTAGGGCCGTTGATCGTCGGGAAGGTTCTGCAGTCGAGGGCTAACCCTACGCTGGGCAGTGGAATTCTTCAACGCACCCATGGATTGACTATACCCACCGCCGAAATCCACACCGGAAACAAACGAAAACCAAAGGAGTGATTTTTCTCGGGAAGTCGGATTCAATGTCGGCACAGAGGAGAGCGAGATCAACTCCGAGAATCGCACCGATATGGCGACGGAGAATCCAAGAGATTTGGAGCCAAGCGACAAACTCGTGCCAAACAAAGAGTAGGGAGAGAGTTCGGATACTCGAGGTTGGAGACGTCTCTAGGGTTTTAAAAATCAAGACGTTGAAATATTACAGACTGATAATGGGAAAGTTCAAATTTGATCGTACTGGCGGGAACTAGAAAAGGTAAAACTAATTAGGATTTCAATTGGCCCGCTAATTCGACTAATTAACAACGCACGCGTGCAAGCCTTTCCAATAAATTCGGCTGATTCTGCTGGAGCTGGGAAGCTATAAACGATATGTCGTTTAATTATGAGCTCTCATCCTATTCAGCTAATGACAGGATTGGTTATGGGGGTTGGCTTGTAAGGTCAACCAATTACAATTGTAAAATATAACTTACCAAAATTGGTAGAGCCGAAATTTTGTATCCTACTTAGGGAAGTTAAAACTTTTATTTTCTTTTAAAAAAAGAGTTTTAAAATTTATTGATGCTCAAAAATGGTTCGGCACTTTTGGGCCCAACTGAGTGATGTCTTAGGCCTTTGGTATGCTTGGGTCTCAGTGGAGCGATCGACCTGTAAGATGAAAAGGCTCTTCGATGCTTAAGCAAATACAGAGTGATTAGTAATCTAGATAGAGTAATGGCTAAGTTTGTCGAAAGTTCCAGTTACCTCCATTTTGGGACTTGTGCCCCTTTTATAAGTCTTGGGAAGTGTGCATGTTGTGTAGAATTTCGATGTGGGACTGTAGACATTCACTGTGGTTACTCCACGTGTCCAGTGGGCGTTTGGGGTCTGGTCTTGCGCTCGGCAGTCAGGGGTACCGAATGTTGTCTTACTGATCCCCTTTTTAGCCCACGTGTCGTTCCCTTATTGGTTTGTCAATTATGGTATAAACAAAATTCATTTTTTAAGATTAAAAAACTTGCTCAATATGCAATTTAAAAACTATTTTTAGAAAGAAAAAAAAATCAAGTATTTTGGTCTTTTTGAGTTTGAATTTTCAAAACAGGGCCTATCAAAAAGATTTTGTGTTTGTAAAAGGTTAAATAACTTTTTGGTCACTAGATTTTATAAAAAAAAATTAATTTGTTCAATTTTTTTTTTGTCAAATTGTTCATTGTATTAACATGTACAATTTATAGACTTGTTGTTAGTTTTTCGTTAAATGATTGGGTTAAATACTTTTTTTGTCACTCAATTATAAATGAAAATTCAATTTGGTAACTGAGAATAAAAATTTAGCCAAAAACCATGCAAATGCTATGTTTTTTTTTGGTTGTCAAATCCATGTATTGTTATAGTTATGAATTTGAATTTTTGTGAATGGGGGGAGTGTGATAATGATTGAGATTATTATTGGAGCTTTTTTGAAGAAATAAATTTGCATTTATGTAAAACTGTTGTTGAGATATGAACTTATTTTGTCATGATATGATAATTATTATTTTAAAATCTATTTACTATTGGGATGTGTAAGAAAAAACCTCTCTTAGAAAACCATAAAGAAAGAAACCCTAGCTGTTGCTCCCTTTGGGGGTTGGCGGCCATCCTTTCTTCATATCCTCTCTTCTCTAATGTGTAAGAAAAAACCTCAGAAAACCATAAAGAAAGAAACCCTAGCTGTTGCTCCCTTTGGGGGTTGGCGGCCATCCTTTCTTCATATCCTCTCTTCTCTCATCTCATCTCCTTCCCTATATTTGCCCCCTTATTTTGCTTTGTTATTTTGTTTTGTAGTGTGTAAACAACTGTCCAGAAATGGTGTTATCGCTAAAATAGTTGTCGTCTCTTGGCTCACGTACACAAAGATTTGGCTTTAGTTGTCAGCCTTTAACATGGGTTTGGAGTTGCAAGTTGGGATGATGTGGGGTTGCGTCGGGTCCAAACTTAGCCGATACGACATTATGGGTTTAGCCATTATGGCGCTACAGATCTCTTCGGGTTGCCTCGGAAGATGTGGAGCGATGGTCCTTCTTCTTAGTTTTTGTCTAATAATTTCCAGGTACTCTTTAGAAGTTTGATGTTGTTTGTTAAATTTATTATTTTTAGCTTTTGGCTACATATCTGCCGTTTTTGCTGTTGGGCATAGAATTTGTATTGTAGGTTTGAATAGGCGTGTTTTTGTGATGTAGGACAAATCATGGGCATTTTTCTACAATGGAAATTTAGAAAAAGGAAGAAATTCAAATTCAGAAAATTGGGGACCATGTTTGAGCATCAATTATGGCACTAGGAAAACAAGAAAGGCTCGTTGGGATTTTTAGAGTGATTGACAAAGTTTGAAGCAATCAAGGATTCTGTCAAGATTCATAGTTTAATGTTGTATTTTCTGTATTTAGAATAAGTTATCTATTATGATATTATTTTCCTTATATGATTTTAACTAGGATTAACTAAATTAGAAATATTGTGGAATCTAGGGTTTCCTACGATTGTAGGGTTTTTTTGTCTTCCATTTAAGCCAACTCATGGTGGGATTCCGAGCCTCTACATTTACATATTGCGCATTTATCCGCATTTCGCAACATCTCAACCATTCTAATAATCTAACTGCTTAATAGATGACACATCATTAAACTTTTAAAAACAAAATCTAATAACTTAAAAATTTAATTAAAATTCGTAAAATCCAAAATTAAAAGAACCAGAAAACTACCACCAATGTCTTCGCCACCCCTACCCAAACACCCCCGCTGCTATAAAATCCTCTCTCACTCTCTCTCTTCACTCTTACACACCAACCAAACCACAGTGCCATCCAAGATACCTGCCATCTCTCTCTCACTAGCCCATTTGCATATTGTTATAGAGGAAAAACAAATAATTTCAATCATCAATGGCTGTGATGATTTTTGGCAGCCCCCCTCCCCCTTAACCTCTCGCTTGGTTTTTTGTTTTTATTTTATTTTTATTTAAACAATAAAACAATTATTAGTTTTAAATAGTTTTCCTGATAGAAAAGAAAAACAATTTTAAACAAATGATGTGTCATGTTTTAGACGGTTAGATAATTAGGATGGCTTAGATGTGGATAAATGCACAACATATAAATGTAGAGGCTCGGGATCCCACATGGCGTTGTATTTTTCAATTTTATTCATATTATTAATCAAATTTAGAGATTTAGACATTTTCTAGTGGATTCTAGATCGATGGTGGATTCCGCCATTGTTACTTTAGGGTTATTGTTCGATGGTGGATTCCAAATCTATTTGCTATTGGGATGTGTAAGAAAAAACCTCTCTTAAAAAACTATAAAGAAAGAAACCCTAGCCGTCGCCCCGTTTAGGGGTTGGTGGCCATCCTTTCTTCCTATCCTCTCTCCTCTCATATCCTCTCCTTCCCTATATTTGGCCCCTTATTTTGTTTTGTAGCGTGTAAACAACTGTCGTGAAACTTTGTTATCGTTGCAATCGTTCGTCGTCTTTTGGCTCACGTACACAAAGATTTGGCTTCACTTGTCAACCTCTAACATGGGTTTGGAGCTACAATGTTGGCTGATATGGCTGATTTTGATGAGGATGAAGCCCAATTCAAGGACATCAAGAATTCATTTCAGGATATTCCTCCCAATTCTTACCCTCTTATCATAACATTCCATATGTTCTTGATGATGCTTGATGGAACACTAGGGAACTCATACTTTGAAACATTCCTTGATGCAACAAAACTTACACACGGTCAATTGCAAAGTTTAAGATCAGTTGCTTTGCAAACCTTTATAAGGAAAAAGGAGGTTAAGTATGAGAGATTCAATTCATCTTACTGGCCCCATTTTAATGTCCAGTTAACAAAGAAGCTCGATGCTTCAAGAGTCTTTACAAAGATAATATCTCATATTAAAGGTGTTTTGGGAGCCATGGATGCAGGTGATGGTAAACTCAATTGCGACGACTATGTTCAATTGTCAGAGGGCCGTGGTGTAATAACCCGATCCTAAATTAATTTTTAATTATTAATTTATTCAAATAAAAGACAATTTTACCTTGGGAATATTTTAATAGGTTTAAAAGTTTACTTTTTGTTCAGGAAAGAATTTGAAGATTTGAGTAGTACCATTGCTTAGAGCACGTCAAGATGAGTCCGTAGACACGTAGTGCGCTCAAATCGAAGTTGTAACGGAGAAGTTATGATCAAAATACTCCAGTGGCAAACCTGTAATTTTTCAAAAAGGGATTTTTTTAAATTTATTTTAAAACCTGGTTTCTTTTCTCTCTCTCTCCCTCCGGCCTCCTACCCCCCCTGGCGAGAACTCCGCTGTTCGCCCATCATTTCCGACACCACCACTTGCAAACTTTTCCTCTCTATCTCCTCTACCCAGCCCACTCCTTTTCTCTGACCAAAAACCCGGCAATCGACGGTGGTTTGGAGAGGAAGAACCGGCAGAAACTGCCACCCTCGCCGGCGAAGTATTCGACCACCTCGAGCTGCGCCGTCACTTGGAACATGTAGCCCTCTCCTCCCTCTTGTTGTTTCCTAGGTTGTGAGACAGTGTAGGTGTCTATCGCCGCCGTATTGAGGCCGTGAAATTCCGGTTAAAACTGTGCATTTTTCGGCTTCGATCCGGCTATCTCCGGCCACTTTTTGGCCATGGTCCAAGAACAAAAGTTGCTCCATTCATTGTTCTGATCGTGCAGATATAAGTCTTGACTGCCGATTTGGAGATTTTTCGATCGCCGTAATCACTTTGGACACCCACGCACTGCCGAAGTGTGTGGCGGAGCGTGGGCATTGTTTGGGTGTCCCTCTTGGTCCTAAAATTACCTTCATGCCGTTCCAAGCACGACGGTATGCTTGGATTTCAATTTGGTTACCGTTTGATTGTCGATCGGATATTGCATGTTAAGCGTTATCCGGGTTCAATATGTTCGGACCGTTGGATCGTCTTCATTTTCAAATATGTTGATCTAGGCACTTCTAGGATCGTATAGGAATTCATGGATCAAGAATCGGAGTCTCGGATACTCCGATTCAATAATTCGAAGTTTAGATAAATGATAATCGTTCGATCGTGAGTGATCCGATCGTTCGATTAGGACCAAACTTCCAGGACATGTAAAGTAAACCTTGTTGAACCCGTAGGAGGTCGTAGTTGACCCAATTTAGAAAGTTTGACCCTCGGTTGACCTTGAGTCTTCCGAGGTTGTTTCACCCTTCGAGAAATGCTAGAACGACCATGTAAACGGGG